TATGTGGTGGTGAAATCGAGGGAGGTGGCGAAGCTACTGCCAGGATCGAAGAGATGGTCGTAGATTGAATACCCACATCAGTGCATGAAGTGTTGATAACTATTGTCTACCGGAGGCGAAAGAAGTATGGATATGATGGAGGAGATGGTCGTAGATTAAAAGTTTAAGTTGACAAAAAAATCCACGTAAACCCCGAAATTGAAATTTCAGACTTTATGCATTGGAGTAATTTTCACTATTATAATGTCTGGTCATTGCACTGTACGTAGAAAGTATATTGATTGTTTGACAATTGGCATTATTTACCTTCACTAGAAGATTTAGCATCGGGGTTGCTCTAATATGGGAAACTTTGTAGTTGAAGTATTTAAACAATGATGTGTGTGCAATAAGCAGCAGGGTTGTGTTACCAAATAAAGCAAAATAAAATAAAAAGAAGAACAAAAAGTGCAGCTAGCAGCCTTCCAGGATGGGAAGGCAGCAGGGCACTTCTTGCTCGTCGGCATTAGGAAAGAAAACACCCAGCAGAAGAAAAATGTACATTTTGGGAGTGAAAAAAATGCTAGGAAAGGAGCTCTTGGCTGCAACTGAAAAATGTACAATTGATGTATTTGTATGAGTTGGTTATGTGTTGTAAATAAAATGTATTGAATAGTATATCAATTAGTTTATGGTATGTTTTAAAAGTAGTGCTTCTAAGCTGGTTAGGAAATATTGGTGCTTATTGTAACAGATGTTTGTTAATGATGATGTATGTGAAAAGTAGAGGTGGACATTGAAAACCGTAACCGTTGAACCGTATCAAATAAGCGAAAAGTCGGTGTTTTTTTCGGTTAACCATACCAAGTTTTCAAAATTTTGCGGTACGGTTAACCAACCAAATAAAAAAACGATACATGATATGGTTACGGTTATAAATTAAAACTACTAATGGTTAACCATTTGAAAGCAGAACATATGCGAGGATAACCACCGGAAAGCACAACATATGTGTTAACTACAAATAAATATAGCCTAATAGGCTATGCATGCTCGAGGCCTCGAGCAAAAACTGGTGGTGGGGAGCTATATTATTGTAATAATTAATAATACTAATAATTAATTAGTTTGTCATATGGTACAATCATAATTGTGAGTAATAATACGGAGTGTGTCAATTTTCATGAAGGAAAATAAGAGCCTATAATACGAAACACTTAGAAGATTGAAACAAAAACCACACGACTTCAGACCTGCATACGTAATACGCAAGAGGCGGCACATTTTCAATGGTTTAAATGGTTTTTTGGTTAACCAGTTAATGGTTAACCTATATTATGGTTATAGTGTATCCGGTTAACCGGTGTTATGGTACGGTTAATGGTATTGTAAATATACTAACCGAAATCATGGTTAACCAAAAATTGGTTAACCGAAATGCGGTTAACCATCCATGCCCATCCCTAGTGAAAAGTGCACTTATCTATGAGGAACGCTTACTTTACTTCACACATAGACTATATAAATAAAGACATAGACCATGCTTTTACTTCTCACAAACAAAATAAACGAACACATAGACAACAACTATTTTCTTCTCATAGACAAAATAAATGAATACATGGACAATGCTTTAATCACGCATGGACAATATAAATGAAGATACATACAATGCTTCCATTATGCACAGATAAAATAAATGAACAGGAAAACAATTATTTTCTTCTCATGGACAAAATAAACGAACAAACAGACAATGTTTTAACCACACACAGACAGTATAAACAAGACATAGACGTTGTTGCGACTATGCACATACAAAATAAATGAACTCACTGACAATGCTTCAACCACACATATACAATAAAAACTTGAACATAGACGATAGATTTAGATTTTTAATTTGTGATTAGTCACTTTGTAAAATTAATGTTCTCATACATATATTCTGTTATTTCTATCATTTGCAATGGAGCCACAGATTAACTATTTTTGGCTTGAGAATATGATGGAATAAAGCAAAATGGTTCACTAAACTGTCTGCGCTTCTTTATTATGAAGCAACAGTCAGTCCATGTATTTTTCGACGCGATTTTCACTTAGGGTCATTCGGAAACAGTCTCTTTGTATTTTAGTACAGAGGTAAGACTGCATACATCCGATCTCCCTTTACCCCACCGTAGGTGGGAGCCTTTGCGACACTGGGGTAATGATAATGATGATGATACATATATTCTGTTACAATGAGCACCAATATTTTCTAATCAACTTAAAAGCAACACTTTTAAAATGTACCATAAACTTATAGATATACTTGCTATTCAATACATTTTATTTACAAGTAACCAACTAATACATACATCAACTGAAACAAAGCCAAGTACTATAAATCTAGCTACTACACTTTTTCAATCTTTTTTTTTAAGATAAATCCAAAGTGCTACTACATAAAATCTCAAAAACAAGAGCAAATAGAGCAACACCATAACTCTTCAATGAGCAGTAATGAAGTAGGAGGTTGAATTGTGTCTCATACTGTGAGAATTCCATTCATGCCCACTCTCTACTGGTGAGGAAGCTGCAGGCTATGGTGCAGACACAATTGTGGCCTCCATATGGTGCAAGACACGGAGGGTTAATTTCTGACCGGCTCTGCAGTGAAGTAGTTAGAAGCGCTCACTTCCTCCAAAGAGTCATTTTTGTACTTGAAATAGAGGGTGTCTCCAATTCAAAAGCGGTTCTGAACAGCCCATTCGTTATAAGTCTCAAGACTCATTTTCAATGGGTTTGGTCCAACGATTCTTGCCTCTGACTTCAAACTGGAAGGAGGAAACTATGACAAAAGTCATGAAGGTGAGGAGGATTGAGGCAAAGACAACAATCTGAATGTTTCTTGGAAAACCTGATGCAAGAAAGCTCATTTCGCTCTGCGGTGGTGGACTCTTTCTGGATTCAGAAAAAAGATCATGCTACAAAAAAAAGATCATGCTTCCTAACATAATTTCTAAAACAAAATATCAAATGGATAGAATCAATCTTTAAAAAAATAAACAATTTACTAAAGCTCCCTTCCTCAAAACCTTAAAAATGAACAAGAAACTCATTGAAGCATTTCAACAAACATCTAATGGGCACAAAATAAAATAGAGTAAAGTTTCAACAATTAACATCACATCCCTATATCACATGCATCAATGTCACAAAGTAGTCAAGAATTAAACATTATAATAATATATATAATTTACTTAAAATTGGAAAACGTAAATAAGTATAACAATTAAAATTATTATAGTCAAACCTAAACATTAATTCGTAACTAAAATACAAAATCAGAAAAATGAAAATCTATGAACTAGTGTAACCCTACATCGCATAAACCACAAAAGGAAATAAATCTTCTTCTTTTTGAGAAAAATGTTAGATATAAAAAAATCTAGTATTACCTGACAAGTGAGGGACAAAATATTGAGGCATTTGGTGGAACTTCACGTCATTATTCATGTGTTTTCTGGTAGAGGCAGGTTATGTAGAAATCATATGAACATGAATTTGATAGATGGGAGTATAGAAGAAAGAAAACAAAAAGAATATGAAGATAAGAAATAGGGAGAGAAGAAAGGGAGAAGGGAGAGTAGCATACCAAAGGAGGGGAATTCAAAAGAGAGGGAGTGGCTGCAGTGTTTTTTACTTAGGAGAAAAGGGGTAATTTTTTAGGAGTATTTATAGTGTGTAAAAGTGTGTATTAATGTGTGTACAAAGACACTTTTTGAAATGAAAAACAAAGACCATTTGGATTAGATAGTGAAATTCTTCCATTTAGGTCTACAAAAGTGAACAGCTTTTCGGAGACCATTTTAACGTTTCCCATGAAAAAAATGTCATTAATATGTTTTTTGGTTGTGTTATTTTTTAGAACAAAATATTTTATTAACATGTTTTTACCCTATATACCCTATGTACAAGTAATTATAATTATGATTTTAATTAAAGATTAGAAGTATGGCCCAACCAGTGTTGATTTCAAGGTTATCCCTCAAGTCGGAATAATCACTTCCATTGAAATTTATTTATTTACAATTGTTTGATTATGTATACTTTATTATTAACACCTCATTCATATGGCAATTTTATGAATATTGACGTTGTGCGATAATTTTTAAGTTATAGTATTTCGCTTTTTAGATTTAATATTTGAACAAAATATTATTCCGTGCATCGCACGGGTGAAATACTAATAGTAATAAAATCAATCGAATGGTGCCTAACAATTTCACGTAACCTCGGGCATGAAGAGGCGAGGTCACACACATTCCATGTGAGAAGCTTTATAAGGAAACATAGCAAGATCCTTAGTGCACCTTTTGGTCGCTAACCGTGTAGTGACCGAAAGAGGAGGATGAACTTCTTTGTTTTTTCTTCTCGAGACCACTCTTAAAGGTTTTGCCTTGTTGTTCGCAATTTGATCAACCTTGCTTTGCACTTCGCCACACACTGCATTCCATGACTCTCTAATCACATTTTCAATTATAGTATGTTCTCTCTCCGAGGTATATCCAGATTGTTCAATTATTTTAAAATCTTCATCCATCAGTCCATCACTACTACGGATCCTTCCTCCAACGATATCATATTAGTTCCATCCTACACCCTATTTAGTGTCATAGTTGCAATCTCATCCCTAGTAATTTCCCCTCCCCCACATGAACTTCCACCAAATTATCATTCACCCCAGAATTAGCACTGACCACGGAATCATTGTGAACCACCTCTTGCATTTGTTGTAACTTGAAAGTCCTTCTCAACTCGATCTTTTCAACAATAGTAAACTTGCATTACTAATGCATGTGTCTCATAATTAATAATCTAAAGAGGGTTAATTATATTGATAAAACTAATAAATCACTTGTCTCATACTCTCATGTTGTCAATCACAATTGATTTTGTCTAAAGTTTTATTGCTACTATCATATCAATATAAAGCACATGTTCTATATTGACTAGATAATAAGTTTTATTGCTACTATTGGATCAATTAAAAGAGCGTGTTCTATATCGTGGAGCTACAAGAAATTTATGGCTTCTTCATTACTTTCACCCATTTGTGTTCAAGTAGTCAAGTACTCATCTACCCATCTCTCTCGCTAATTTCATTCGAGAGTTTTGATTTTTCTAATTTTTATACATTCAAACATGTTCAATTGAATGTTGTTTTGGTTACTCCAAAAACAGTGATGGTGAAACCCCCTGAAGAGCGCTAACTTCAGAAAAAAAAAGAGTTGCGAGTCACAGCCATGGCCATCCTGCTAGATTTGCAGCTGACCATAGTGGCATAGTGTTGCCTTGGGTGCCATTTCTCTCCCCATATAGCTGCGACCATATAGCTGTGATGGTGGTGCCTTGCACATGCTTCTTTGTGTTTTTTTATATTCACGCCGGAACTTGGCCAGTTATAGAACTTGGTTGGCCTCTCGCCGGGCATGACAACTGAAATTTGGGACTGGGGCTTACCGTGTTCACCGTGGCCAGAGGATGGAATTCACCGGAGAAGGTGGTCAAATATAGCAGCAAAGGAAAACTTCGTCAGCGAAGAAATTGTTTGTTCAGACAAGGGTAAGTTGGGATGTGGGAAAAAGTTGAGGTATAAAAGTATCCTCAAAGTTCAACATATCTACAAAAAAAAACTAAATGCAGATAAAAGCACCCCAATCACCCAATGGTTGCTTCAGCTTTTGACATATTTTGTATTTACAAACACTTTTTTTAGCTTTTGTGATCAAAAAAGCCAAGTGCTTATTAGAAGCAATAGAAAACATAGCCATAAAGGCACTCAAGTTGGTGGGGAGAGGAATAACAATTAAAATAGCTAGACTCGCCGCTTCCTCTGATGGGCGACCGACAAAAAAGAAATGAAGAGAAATGTTAAATATGATAACCGAAAATCCCAACCATGCATGTCCCAAGAACATGAAAATTTATAAACATATCATCATCTAATCTTATTCAAGTGTGGAGGGGGTAAGGAGGGAGGGGTTGAAGATTCCCGCAAATCCACACCATACCAAAAGATACAGCCATCTGAATCAATCTCATTACTCATGCATGCATTTTCAGTACAACACGAAGGCAACCTCCCTCATGCATCAGATCAAAGGCCTCATTGATCTCTGGAAGTGTCAAGTTGTGGGTGATGTACTCGTCCACTTTGATCTCCTATATGCGATGGGAGATTAATTTCAGTGAGCAGTGATTTCATAGAGGAAGGAAAGAGTTAATACCCCGATTAAGCCCCTAGACTGTATACTGTACTCAACTTGGTCTAACTTTTTTTGGACTCCATTTTCTTCTCAGGTTCTGAACTCAATTGTTCTCAACTATTAGACTCAATTTAGTCCTCAAGCATATGTTACTTTGATAGTAAAGGGTATTTGTGTCTATTGATGCGAGAAATGAATTGAGTCCTAAATTGGTTCTAGATCAGTGAATTGACGGAAATACCTTTCTGACCTAGAACAAAATATGTATCAGAACTAAATTTGGGCCAAATTCCATTCTTGAGGACCAAATTGAGTCATAAGAAGGTCGATGATTAAATTCAGTAAAGGTGTATTGGTGTCCAGGGGGGGTTGGTGTCATCACCTTTTTCATGTACTTTTCCACAAGCCAAGGTACTTGTGAGCGGCTCTTGAAACCGCCAAATGCAGTTCCCTTCCAAACTCGGCCAGTCACCAGCTGAAATGGACGTGTTGATATCTCTTGTCCAGATGCTGCTACACCTACAATAACTGATGTTCCCCAACCCTGTTGACAATTTCACAGAATTTTAGGCATTAAAATGACGATTTACAGATTTTTAAACTTTAACCTTATTTTGGTTCATTTGTTAGGTGACCCCAAAATCTTTTGGGACTAAGGCTTGGATGTTGTTGTTGATATAAAATCTAATTGGTATGGCGAGAGTTCTACCTATTTCTCAAGAATCATTTCAAAATCAGGGTGTGGGAGGCATATAATTGAATTCCCCCTATTTCGAAAGGAAGTACTCCACTTTTGGTCCCACTGTTGTAGGTTCTTACACTTATTGATGGTCATTTTTAAACATTACACTTATTGGGTCCATTTGCTGGTCTGGATTGCTTGGACTGATATAGAATCCATTTGGTATGGGGAAAGTTCTACCTATTTTTCAAGAATCGTTTCAAAATCAGGGAAAGAATTTGGACTGATATAATTGCCCCCTACTTCTGAATGAAAGAATCCCACTTTAGGTCCCATGGTTGCGGGTTCTCAGTTCATTTCCACTTTCGTTCCCCGACTGTGTTTGTTAACACTTGGTTCATGATTATTAAATCCTTGCCAATTTTACTTTCTCCCATCACTTGGCAATTTCCTTGCAACTTCTAAGGGAATAGAACTAAGGACTGAAAGTGGCAAACAGGGAAAGTTCTACCTATGAAAATGACCTAATAACTAAGGGATCAAAAGTGGATCATTTCCTTCAAGGAGATGATAAAACCCAGTAATTCCCTGATTCTGAGGTTGTTCCGAATCCAAACACAGACCACACATTCACACCACATTCCCAGAAATCACACGCCCAACAAACAAGGCCTTAAAGAAATTAAAAATGGCAAGCATAAGCATCATTACCTTATGACAGCACTCTAGAGCAGCCCTCATCACTTCAACATTCCCAATGCACTCAAAACTATAGTCAACACCACCATCAGTTTGATCTACAATAACCTGCTGTATTGGTTTGTCATGGTTTTTTGGATTGATGAATTCAGTCACACCAAAATTCTTAGCTGCATGGAAAGAGGATCAACAGGTCAAGATGATTTTAGCTTCAAAAAATGTCTTTCCATTACAAACTAACATATTATAAAGACCAACAGCACTGAAATGATATCCACGCTCAATACGGGATATCAACTTCTAGAGTTCCACCTGTGTCAAACTTTTTGCTGTCAATATCTATCCCAATGATCCGTGAAGCACCGGCAGCTTTAGCACCCTCTGCGACCTAAGAAGCAGCTAAAAGTACATCAATACTTGTAAAACATGGGACTAAGAATTCTTATCAACATATCAGTAAATGTGTCAGGAAAATTACAGCAAGGCCTACAGTCCCAAGGCCAAAGACAGCAACTATAGAACCTGGCTCAACTTTTGCAGTGTTCCAAACTGCTCCAAGACCTATAATGAAAATTATAAGATGTAAATAAGCAAAAAGATGCTAAAGTAATTTCATGCACAAAAAAGTTCAATAAATCTAAAAATGCAAAACATAACCTTCCTTATTATACAAGATTACATGAGTTCCTCACAGAAGAAAATAAATGGTTAATACTTATCAGCCAATGCTTGAGTTATTATATTTACTTAAAAATAGAAATTAGCATTATAGAATTATATACAACTACAGATGTGATGTGTTGAAATCTTGTTAAGTTTTGTTGTCTTGATAAATATGTCAACGGGGGGGTTATAAGTCTTAGAGTAAAAAAGAACAGAGGTGCCGATTATAAATGCAAAAACAGAAAAAAGTATGGAACATTCTTTGATTAATATCACATTTCTCAATCTCTCTATTTCCTCAGCTCCCTCTGTTCTTCCTCACCCCAGTAGCATCTGGAAAATGCCACGGAAAGGAAAAAAATATCCTAATGAAAGTTATGTTCTTGTGTTTGGTTATGCCACATAAAATTTAAAAAACAATGAAATATGAATATTTCATAGAACTTTTGCATATGCTTTCATTCATAGTATTTATATAATATAAATCGATAAATAAGTGAGTTTGAACAATATCAAAAATATATTTACTGAGTTAGAAGTTCAGTCTTTGAACATACTTTTTAATTTCCCTCCATTTTATCTTTTCCAATCATTTTCTGAGTTCCGGTAGCTTGATTAATATTATTGACCGAAGTTTTATATCATGTTATTACTTATTAATTGAATTAATAAAGAATAAACAAATTAACCAATTAGTTTACATGTTAAAAGTTAAAAGAATGAAGTTGTATGATTTTATTAAAAAGCCTTGAGTATAAGCAGGCTGGAGGCCCATCTCCTTGTAATTTTCAAGCTTCCAGTCTTCCACAACTTGGATAGCAGCAGCGTGCCTTAGCCGTTTAGGCTTTGAACTTTTCAGTAAAGAACTAAAGAAGTATGTCACCAGGAGAACATAAACAATAATTTGGGTTTTTGTTTTAAATGTCCTTTTAATTAGGACTAATTTGTTTGGCCTAAAACTAGGCTGCACATGAAGCACTACACGCCTACACACAGGGATATCTTCCCCCTTAGGTCTGCACAATATTGTTAGGGGGGCAAAAAAAATTACTCCCTCTGTCCCATTAGAAGGTTCCCACTTTCCTTGTTGGGACATCCCATATAAAGGTTCTCATTTCCATTTTAGGAAACAATTAACAATCTTAAGTGATAAATTAAAATTATAATATTAATACTAACTACATTATAATATATACCTATTAAAATTATTTCTCAAAGTATACCCGAAGTACTTTATTTAATTATTGCCTAAATAACCGTGTCGTTTTGCTATGGGAACCTTCCAACGGGGCGGAGGCAGTGGTATAATACTGCTATTCAAAAAAAATAGGGGACATGGCCCCCTCACCTATGAGAGTACTCTGCTTCCGGCTAAGAGGCAAAGTACACACCCATAATAAGAGCCCGTTTGGTATCGGTGTTTTTCGGCTTATCATGCTTATCAGCCACCTTTTTCACCAAACACGTAACTTTTGATTTTGCGTGCTGAATTGTCTAATAATAAAAAAAATAAGGTTGGAGTTAGTTTTCTGACTGTATTGACTGAAGTTACTATAGATAACCATTTTAGCTATTTTTCATATAATTTTTTCTTAATTTTATTAATAAAATATATTTTAAATATAATTTTTTCATAAATCATTATAATCACCCAATACAGCCACTTAAGCCTGAACTTGATAAATTTCAACAGAATCAGCCGACCAAACGGACTCTAAACATTAGGGATCGCAAGCTAGTCTGAAAGAAGACAGCATGTTAATGTGAGGACTTTAAGAGAAAATGTCCAAGTCATATTTACACTATCGATCAGCTACATAACTAAAGTTAAGGGGAAGGTTAAAATTTTAATCAGGTTCAAGAAAGAAACACATCTCACCTGTTGGAACACCACAGCCTAGAAGACAGACTTTTTCCAAAGGTGCCTTTGGGTCAATCTTAGCTACACTGACATCATGGACTACAGTGTATTGACTGAACGTTGAAGTCCCCATGAAGTGATAAATGGGCTTCCCATTGATTGAAAACCGACTCTTACGGTCATTCATCATGATTCCAACTCCAGTAGCACCCCTTACTTTTCCACAAAGATTTGTCTTTCCTGATTTGCAAAACTTGCACTCCCTGCATTCTGCTTGATAACATGGTATAACATGGTCTCCAGGCTGAACCTCAGTAACACCTTCACCAACACTTTCCACTATACTGCATATGTTTAAATTTACGTAAAATAACAGTGAAAAATTAACTTTGAGCAAATATTTCAGTTTGTCTTAAGAGCCCGTCTGGTAAGCAGAAAAATGAGCTACTTATTCTGATTATTTTAATAATAAGCAAATTTTGGCTACCAAACGGGCTACATACGTGTATAGATTTCCAGTTTATGTTGGCTTAAATAAAACAATCACATATATACCCCGCAGCTTCATGACCAAGAACACATGGGAAGAGACCTTCAGGATCCTTTAAGAGTGGAGCGAAAAAAACATGCCTCAGATTACATAAACAAATAAGTCATAGTTCATATTTGAAGTAAATCAATCAAATGACGCAGGTAGGTAGAAGAAACCTTGCCGCTCCACGTATAAGCATCCGTGTGGCAGAGAGCAGCGAATAGAATCTTAACACGGACTTCACCAGCCTGCGGTGGATCAACCTGAACGTCCTCGATCGCCAAAGGCTTGTTGGGTTCCCAGGCCACCGCAGCTGTACAATCACAAATCACAATAACCACATTCAGATCTACTCGGGCTGAGGGTTCCGCATACACAAGTAAGTGAAGTATCACCGCAGAAATGCAGACAATTCATTTATTCATGTAGATATATACCAAATTCGTGGTTATACCAATACCAGCGTGCAATCGGCTTTTTTTTTAGAAAAGGAACGGTACCTTTGCAGGTGATGACTTGACCTTGAGTTGCCATGAATCACAACCACAGAATGTGTTGCAGAAATGATTTTCACTTGACTATGCAGGTGAGCGCGCGCGTGATGTGAACGGCCGACACGCAACACGCATTTTGCCATTTAATAGCACCGAAGCTCTGTGGAAAACGTTTGGACTGATCTCTTTTGTTTATGGGCGCACATCCGTGTGTGCAGGCCCATTTCTAGGAGTGCAATTTTGTTCACCCTCACCAAAGAGGGTGATTTTCACCCCACTCTAAAGATATTTTTACTTGGACTTTAATTTGTCCCAGACCAGATCAGACCAAACCAGATCAGACCATAACAGACTTGGATAGTTATAAAAATACAAAGAAACCAGACCAGACCAGTTCAGACCAGACTAGACTAGACCAGACCACCAAATTACAGTCCAAGTAAAAACATCCTAATCGCTTGCCATGTGGCTTCCCATCCCCTTTTTTTCTTTAAATCAATTTAAGTTTTTATTTATTGTTCAAATTTTATAGAAAAATATATCAGATTTAATAAATTTTTTAGATCTTTCCAATGACATCAATATTGTATATAAAAAAGTTGGACAAAAAATCGCATTTTTATAAATATTCATTTCTAAGTGGATTGTTTTTTAATTTTTTATATGCAATATTGGTACCATATGAAAGATCTTAAAAAATAAAAAATTTGATGTATTTTTTTAAAAAATTGGATTAAAAATTAAAAAGTTAAAACAATTGCCAAATAATTAAGAATTACCTTGACACATGGCAAGCAATTAGGGTGGGGTGAACATCACTCTCTTTGGTGAGGGTGAACAAAATTGCACTCCATTTCTAGAGGGGCGTGAATACATCAGGAAGAAAATGATCAAAATAATACACTATTTGTTTCAAGTGGAATAAGCAGTATTCTATCTTACACTTGAAACTATAAAGTGCATGAATTTGCATTTTTAAAGTTGATTAAGTACATTTGTTCTGTTAAAACGTTAAAATAACTGACTTGACCAAACTATCAGTTTGTACTTTGTAATATATCATTGTATTACAAGTCATCAAATAATTAATCTATAAACTCTAATTTCCCTTAGTTCACTCGTTTCCACCTTCGCTCTTCATTTTATATTTCTCACATTTGTTCTCCCTTGTCTCGCTCTTTATCTTATATTTCTATTGTTTGCTCTCTAAGGGCGGGGCCAAAGCACTAGATCGGACTAGAGCAGTACAAAGAATATTTTTGGGAGGAAATTACACAAAATTTTAACTTTAAAATTAAAGCATTTTTTAAATTTGAGGTAGGCCGAGGCCTAGGTTGGCCCCATATAGCTCTGCTTGTGTTGCTCTTCTTCTCTTTCGTCTTCTCTCCATGTTATCCCGTTTGGCTTCTTCTTTTATTTGTTATTAGTCCATCTTTATTATAGCAAGAGAAGAAGAAAACAAAATAGAGCAAAAAGAAGAAGCCAACGGGATAGCAGGGGGAGCAGGTAGAAGAAACGTAAGATGTAGAGCGGAGAGAATGGAGAGCAGACAAAAAAATATAAGATGGAGAGCGAAGGTGAAAATGGGTGGAATGGAGGAAAATAAAATTTATAGATTAATTATTTGATGTCTTGGACCGCAACTGTATGATACAAAAGGATAGTTTGGTCAGGTCAGCTATTTTAACGTTTGGACAGAACGAATGTATTTGATTGGCTATAAAAATACAAGTTCATGTACTTTAAAATTTCAAACGCAAGATGAAGTACTACTTACTCTCGTCGATACAACTTCATGTATCATTTTGACCATTATCTCATAGATCAGGGGTGTGTTTTGAAGGAGCTATGCTTGGTGTACCATATTCTTGGTACCTCATTTGTACCACGCCCTTTGTGTGATTCAAATGATGTCATCATTTAAATGAATTGTCCCACTTAAATGAATTGCCCCGTTTGAGTCACAATATAGGGGTACAAATGTGGTACCCCAAAATGGGTTATCTATGTGATTTGGGGAAGATCTTTCACTATTCCTTTATAGGAAGTACTTCCTCCTTTCCTTTTTAATTGCAGCAGTCAACATTTCACGTTTGTCAACACACAAGTTTGACTATTAATATCTTTCATTCCTAATTATTAAAAAAATTAAAAAATTCATATTTTGAAATTTTAGAATGAGAAGAATTTAACAATATTTTTAAAAAAATTAATTTATAATACATTAATTAATAAAATATAGTCAATGTAGAATATGTGAATAGTGCAAAAAGTCCAATGTTGCAATTAAAAGAGAACGGAGGTAGTATATCATTTCCTAACCCTCTAATAAGGGTTTAATTCACCAAATATGTGATATAGAAATTCAGTACATTAATCTCATGTGATTTAGAAGATGCATCAAACCATCCATATGTTATTATTAATAATGCGTATAATCCCTTCTATTAACAAATTTAATTGTTAAATAAAAAAATTGATTAACATTTTTGTATAATTTAGAGAGTTTGACAAATTACTTGCATATTCAATCATAATATAAAGAAAAGTTATTTTAAATTGAGGACGTTCAGGTTGATCCACCGCATGACTTCTGATGGTACCATGGACCCTGACCATGGCCCAATTACGTAGTCCAGAACGGGATCATCCCTTAACGGGATTAGCCTGATTAACAGGATTAGCCCATAAACGGGATCAAGCCCTGAACGGGGTTCATATTGAATAAACCGCTAGGCCCGGTTAGGGATCAGGCACATGATAGAAACCCACAGCCAGGCTGGGCTCGACAGCAGACCTCGAGCCTGGACGAAGTTCCAGTGAGGTTGGTTATTTCTAGGGTTTACGTGGCGGGTTATCATTTGAGTATAGCTATTTGCATTGGTAGCAGGCAGAACTCAACAGGAAACGTAGACTTGAAGGAGATAATCATTGCACAATGGTCAAGACGCTACAGGAGTTCTATTCGAACTAATGTATAATTAATAGCATTTAATGTGGTAGTTTCCTCCTAGAATACTAACTTCTATAGTCTATAAATACTTCATGTCGATACCCTATGAGGGGGATCGTTCTTCCGAATAATAATAATAATAATAATGCCTTACGCTGTCATATTTTGATATCTTTAGTAGATTTAGCTCTAGTAGTTGGATTAAACTCCATCATTTGGTGCTCTCGTTGAGAGTCGAATCTGTGAAGACGATGGTTGGATCCAATAGTCACAACCATATGGGTAGCAATAAGGCGGCGATCGTGTCAACCAGGCCGTGATCGAGGACGAAGGTTCGAGGTCTCGACGGAGCGATTTCCGAAGACGCTATAATAACACGACGACCCAAGGCAACTTGAGGAATCGTCTTCATGCCGTCAAGGGTCCCAGGCGCATGGTGGTGCAGCCATCGCAATTCCAAACGCCGGGTACCGGACACAATATCCCCAGTGTGGATCCAACGCAAGCCCTAGCAAGTTTGGCAACGTTTCAAAGAGCGTTGGAAACCTTGACTACCGTTTTCCAAGGTATCATCCCTGATCCTGCTGGGAGACCTCCTTCCCCCCGTCGAGCACCATCCATAGCTCAGCAAGAGGGGGGATATCTCCTTAACAACAGAGTGGTTCTCCACCGACCATGTCTCAACGCTCCCACCATTCCAGAATGACCTCGAGGATTCTTGTGACGAATCGAGTAAGTGAACATCGAGTTTCTATCCACGAGAGGCTCTTCTCTAGGGCCGAACGCAGTGAGGAAGCTTCTTCGGCCGCTGTTTCGTCCCGCCGCCACAGCGCGTGTGGGGGAGATCTCTGAGATGAGATCAACGCAAATAGGCAGGCCCGAAGAGGTCGCCGATCTCCGTTGCGTACCTAGACAGGTCACAACGACGACGACCTCAGGAGGAGACAGGACGAGCTCAGAAGGGAGATAGATGGTAGAACCAATCTCAATCATGATGTAAGAATCCCGAGCCTTTCACGCGCCAGATTATGAACGCACCATTACCACAAGGGTACAGACCATGCAACATTGAGGCCTAGCGAGGGAAAACCGACCCCCCAGCATCATGTCTCCAGGTATGTAGCCTATATGGTTATGATGGGGTATGATGACGCCATCAAGTGTAGGGGGTTCTCGGTGAATAAGGAACTTTCGGGAGTTAGCACATGCGTTTGTAGTGATTCTCACCAATGCCCTGAGGGCGGGTGAGCTATACAAAGACTTCATACGAAAGCCCCCAACCTCACACGAGGAGGCCTTACTGCGCGCAAATGTGCAAGCCGAGGTGGAGTAAGCCGAGAAGCGGAAGAGAGATGAGGAGACCGAAAGGCCCCAACCCGATGGGGAAAAGAAGAAGAGCTTAGAGAAAAAAAACCCATGACCAGGATAAGGGGAACGAGTTCAAGAAGAAGAAGGGATGGGGTAAGGGCAAATAATATGTTCTGGAAGGCCCATTATCCAGCCAACCTGAATTTCCAGTTAGAACGGTCCTCGATTACACGGCAAAGCAAGGTCTGATCACGATCCCTGAGGGCTATAACATCGTCAACAGTGAACCCTCCAGGGGTAAGTATTGCAAAATTCATAAAAAGTGATACCCATGAGACTGATGAGTGATACATCCAGAAAAAATATGTGGGAAAGCTTGTCCGTGAAGGACAACTGGACCAATTTGTGAAGAAAAGCCAGCAAGAACAACACCCACCGAGGAAAAAACACCCGGAACAAGGGGAAAGACGAGTCGGCCTCAACCTCTAAAAAGAGGGAGGTCGGAGCCCAGTTCAAGGATAATGATGAAGGAGAGGATTCAGCCCGGCAAAAGCGCCCGCACATCAACCAAAATCTATGGCAGACCTATCGGAGGAGCCGCCACGGGAGAAAGAAAGAAGTGGAATCACCAACTATTCGTAGGGGAAATCAACTGTCTTCCGGCTGACAAAAGGCACAAACGGGAATCCATCACCTTCACGGATGACGATCTCCCCCCATGTCCCCCACCCCACAGAGATGCTCTGGGCAAAGTTCTCGTGGACAACGGATGTAACACCCCCAATTTTCCCGCCCAAAATAATACTTGAAATAATAATAAATTGATAACAAACTTGATTTATTCATTCAAAAATAGATAGAGTTTTTCAGCGGAAATAACAATAATGGGAAATGAGT